CAAAAAGACGGAAGGCATTTTGCTGATCACTGATCGGGGGAGTGTCTATAAAGCCAGTGATCTATATGATCAAGAAACAGTGCTTTTTGAGACGGGAAAGAAAACAGCATTACGTATGGGTCAACCTAATGAGAAGAGTATTCAAGGTTGTCATTTCTAATTCTCGTCTGACCAGTTTTCCCGTTTCGGCGGATCTTTCTCCATATTCCGTCAACAGCATGGCTAGAGATAGTAAGTGATCGGATGGGTAAGATTCTTACCTTCATGGCTTGTGGCGATGTCATATGCATTACAGACGACGAGGTTGTTAAGATATCTGAAGGCACTTTTGCATGGGACCAGTCCGAACCTTCAGCAACCTTGGAGAATATTAATATCAGCGTTCAGAAGGGCCAACTAGTTGCAGTAGTGGGCCGAGTGGGCCACGGAAAAAGCTCTCTGCTTCAAGCATTATTAGGTAGGTGTTCAATCAGAGCTGATTTTTAAAAAAGTTTCAGCATGCTTAATTGATATTGTTGCAGAAGTGCTGGAGAGAACCAGTGTATTCAGTGCCGCTGCAAAGCGTGATCACTAGAGCAAATATTGATACTCTCTAACTTCGCACTTATGATTCGGGAATCTAGGCTCGCCAGCAGATGCCTGCGCTCCTTCTTCTGTTGCTTTGCATCAACCCTTTCGTTGATTAAACATACATGGGTAATGCCCAACATCTCTATCATTAGTGCTCATGGTCAACGATCCTCATCCAATAGCATCATGCCTTTTGCTTTCAACAGTAATACCATTTACGTGGTCGTGACAAGGATTTTTCATGAAGAGCACGGATGAGGGATGTCACGCATTGGCCGTGTATCCAAACAAAAAGAAAGAAGGAACGCGCGGCGAAGGCACTTAACCCAGCGAACTCAAGCCATAGATGGAGAAGCGCTGGCATCAGCCGGCGATCCGACTAATGTCATATGTTTTTGTGGCGGTCACTTGTGATTGATAGGAAAAGATACTGACCAGGAAAGTCCGCCAACTTACCATGGAACTTTGAATGGAGACCTGGGTAGATCAATAGAGTCTATAATGCTATTTACAAATATGGATATCAAAACCGCCACCTGCAATCCGCAAGCGAATTAGGAAGATGAAATTTGTAATGCTGCAGTACCGCCGAAAGCTGGTGGCGAGCTGTGAAGGACAAGCGAAGAATCGCAGAAAGATCGAACAAAACGAGTCATGATGGCTCAACGGAAAAGTTCTCGCTCCACAGGAACAGCATGGTTCGGTCCTCGTGAACGCCAAAGAAAGTTTCTGCTTCATTGCTAATTCATGATTTTTACATGATTTTTCGACACGCGCTACGAATACATGGCGACGAAGCTACAACTTGTGGCAGATCAAATTGACACCTGTCGCTGTGTCATCGATTTACATCCATTGCCAATGACTTTCTACTTTGCAAAAGTGGTTTCCATAGTCCTGGCAGAATTCGGATCGCCGAAATACAACGATGCTGCAACTCGGGGAGAGGAAAACTCCTCAAGGTTTGCTGCCATACTGCGCTACGGAGTCGCAGGTGGAGTTGAAGCAGAAACCGGAGAAAGGTCGAAATCGGAGGTCTTCATTGAATCTGATTGAGTACAATGGTGCAATACTGCTCGAGAGCGCCGGTCCAGTTCTTGATCTCTGCATTGTTACAGGCTGCGAGGTCACAGTTCGCAATATTCCGGCCGGCTCCGCTTCGCCCACTTTTTTGAATTTGTTCTTCTTCGACCCTATGAAAAACGTTATGAAACGGATCTGCACCCTGGCGATGGTGAGTAATCAACATTTAACATGACCCAGCGGGGAAATATTTTGAAGGTGCTGTCATAAGTAAAGCGGATGTGTTGAGCTCCGAGATTCCGAATTTTCTGAAGTACTCGTATATTGCAGGCTATATTGATAGTCATCCAGGAGCCTTTGCCACTCTTGGTGTCCATTTGTTCAACCTTGAGACGACTGACTGTTTAACCGGCGGTTTTAGGGGAACAGCATCTTTTAAGCCAGAACCCGCGTTCATTTGATTTTTCTACGCTCTTCTTGGGTATAGTAGACTTGGCTACAAAGATCGAGGATGTTACTACTTCCGCAGCTCAAAAAATACGTGAGGATGGCGCCACTCGCTTGTGAAGAGGTTGCCGCTCCACCCACCTGGCTGCAACAACTGCTTTGGCTTAGTCTTCAAAGTTAAGTCCGCTCGTGGGACTCATATTGTAATAACAAGATGGCAAGCGGTCCTGTAGGTGAAGAAAAAAGCAAAAAAAAATATGGGAAATGCCCTATATAGAACTCTATGATGAAGTAAAGTTGTATGTGCACTAGGCGAAGGGAAAGGTGTGATCGCACGAGTTCTCTCTTGCCGGTATAAATTATTTTCCCCTACGACCTCTCATCATTCGAAGTGCAGGGATTCAGTAGCGGAGTAACTGCACCATCAGACACTTATTAGAAATGAATGTTTGGCAGCCAGGTGGGTGAGGCGGCAACCTTCTCATAAGGGGCTGGGGCCATTTCCTTACATTTCTGAGCGGACGCGGGCTCTGCTCTTGATATGCAAAGTTTGTGGGCATCTTGTTTGCCTTACATTTTTTTTGAATCGTTCCATCAGTACTGGAGCACTGGTTTGATCAGCATTGTCGATATTCTCAATGTGGTCAATGAAATAAATTACACATAAATAGTTTCGCAGTAAATAAACGCGAGGAACGTATATCAAGTGATGGCCAGGTGTTGATCCATACGCAAATCGAAAATTCTGGTAAAAATCATGAACTAGAAATGAAGCAAAAATTTTCGCCTCCACTGGAAAACCGAACCAGAACCTTGCCGTTGAGCCACCAGGACTCGCTTTCTCCTGCGCAATTCCTTCACTTATGCATCACAGCTCTCCACCAACTCTCCACCGTGCTGTAACATTACAAACTTTCCCTGCTCATAAGTCACTTGTAAAATGCAGCTAGCGGTTCTGATATCTATACTGGTGAACAGCATATAGACTCTATCTATCTACCCAGATCTCCACTCAAAGTTCCATGGTAAGTAGACGGGCTTCCCTGGTGAGGGTCAGTTAGATGGATCAATCACTTCTCTCTGGGGTGCTCTGCTCACCCATCTCGGTGAGCGCTGCGCCCACTGCGGGTGTGTGCCCACATTTCGCAGCTTCTCCCTTGCTTACCCAGTTCCATTTTAACGCCTTTCGGATGCTCTGAGATCAATCTACGCATCCTTCGCTATGGTTTCGCTCACCTTGATGTAGCATACACCCTCTGCGAGCGTGTCTCACCACATCATTCCCTTACATACTGCCCATTTTCACTCACTTTTTCCCAGTTTCAAGAGTGTTATAGACGACTCTCGGCGCAGTTTGTCGACGGGGGGCATTCGGCTTTTCATAGATGTGCCGACCCATCTAGGTAGCCTTTTCTCGAGTTGACACGTTTTAGGATGGTGGCTAGACGATCTTACTCCAGCTTCACAGGCGTTCACAAGTTTTACCATGGTGAGATTCGTAAACCGGAACTAGGGAAGCAATGTTAGTACAAAATGCCCCCCGTCGCTAAACAGCGCCCGAGTCTCTATAAAAGAATTATAATTCTTCGATGTACGTCCCAGTTGAGTGTGCGCACAACGGTGAACTATCAACAATGTTCGTCATTTTCCAGTCATATATAGCTCATTGCATCTACTATCCACGACTATCCGCCAATTATGTTAAGGATGCCCATGACGGTCGCATAGAAAACAAAGAATTATTCACCGGAAGTTGGCAGTGCAGCAGGATATGGAGAACGCATAACGACATCAAACTTGTTTTTCGTGGGACTTATTCAGGGCATGTCGTGCGTTGGGGACCACAGCGAGGGATCGTATTAACTCGCAGGAGGATTTCGAGATCGTATTTGCTCCTAAAAAATGTTTTCGCTTGTTGACTTCGCACCTCTTCCCGCAGCTCGACGCCAGTTTTGTGGGGGTGGGGAGAGGGGGGGGGGAGGAAGTGGAGGATTTCTAAAGAAAAATTGTGAAAAAAGTGGTAGGATGCTGGGAAAATTCAGGAAGGTACCAGGTAGGAAGTAAGGGGTCAGTCCAGAGGGGGATCTTCTGAAGGATAGTCGTACTTTGTGAAAGCTTTCTCCAACGACAGGACGTGCTTATTATCTGCTATCTTGGAGGTGAAATAAGCTGGGATTGTTGAAAAATTCCGACTGCCATTCGAAGGTACAGCCGTTCATTGAGGGGAACCAGCATGACGGCGGTACAATGTATGCCGTACTACAAATCGACGGCTGGTAGGCCACATTCCCTGTGGGATATCAATCTTTTCAATTCTCCAGTTTCCTAACAAGAGCGGAGTGGTAACCCAAAAAGTCTTTTTACAACTCGCCTGCACTAAGGCTTCTTCTGGGTTTCCTAATGGAGACTGAGGCTTGACGAATTCCGCAAGCACCGCTTAGATTTATTGTCATGCTCATCGCTCCACGCAACATTGCCATTCAAAGTAAAATGGTAAATGGTACCATATCGTTGCATATCGTTTCGTTCGTATCATTGCCGCGGTATTTTGGCAAAAATTTGCAGAAACGCGCCCCTTCCCCTGTTCCTGAGGGAAATGGTATCTTTCTTTCTACTAGACCAAGCTCGCCTTCTTCACCTAGTTCAACAGAAAAAATATTAAACAGGCAATTACATAAGATTTCTACCTATGCATTGAATCAGGCAAGAAGCTTCCTGCCTTTGTGCAAGAGTCGGTTGAATGTGCGCAGATGTCAATTTGGATGGTTCTTCATTTCTCACCCTTAAGACGAGCCCATGTCTTATATGACTCCCTTTTCTGATTTGTGAAAACTGATCAGCCATAAATACAAGAACATCCCTAGCAGCTAAGCTTTCTTTGAGACTCTATGGTTGTGCACAAAAAAAGTGTCGTTGGAAACTTCCAACCTTAACCAAACTTGAGTTCAAATTTCGTTTGCATGGATGCCTCAGGAGAAATGGAAAGGCTTTGTGGGTACGTTGGTGTCAGTGGACGCGTTGCCTATGTTCCTCAGCAACCTTGGATGCAGAATCAGAGCATTAGGACGAATATCACATTTGGGAAGAGGTAAGGTGGGAAACCAAATTATTCAGTGCGAACCTTTCCCGAGTTCTAGATTTCAGCTATGAAGAATACTTTTATAACCGTGTCCTAGACGCCTGTTCTCTATACCCTGATCTTCAAATGCTTCCTCACGGCGATATGACAGAAATCGGAGAGAAGGTACACCCTTTATTTGGTGTTCTCATCTGCAGTGTAGTCACTACTCCATGGAAAGGGCATTAACCTCTCGGGCGGGCAAAAAGCTCGTATTTCTTTGGCGAGGGCGGTTTACCAAAATTACGACGTCTACCTTCTCGATGACCCAACGAGCGCTGTGGATTCGCATGTTGGAGCGCAGGTTCTATTTTTTCCCATAGCGAAACCGTATCGGTGTCACTAATGTCGGTTTTTTCAGATCTTCTCGTGTGTGATTGGACCAGAAGGAATGTTGAGAAACAAAACAAGGATATTAGTGACTAACGAACCAGCGATTTTGGGCCATTCAGACAAGATTTACGTAATGAAAGGTAGGTATTACGGATGGTAAAACTTTTACTGCGCTGCGTTAGTATGTGGATGGTGGAAGCAAAAAATAATGGAATAAGCAAAAAGTTTGGACATTTACGTCGGGCGCTAACATCAGCTCTACCTTTAGAGTTTCTCGGAAGATGTGTCCGGGATCCTAGTGCACACATGAACTCGAGTTTTGAGGCCGTAAATAGCAAATAGTGGACTGTAGCAATGTTGTGCAAATAATTAGTCGGATGCTCTCTTTAGCACCACTGCAATTTCGTCCATGGAGTTGGGTGCAAGTATTCGACACTGAAAATGCGTAGTTGTTCCGGGTTGACACAAAAGTCTTGTTGGAAGCTTTTTCCTCCTTCTATATTGATATCTCGAGATAACTTACTTCGGGTCTTAGATAAAAGGGGGGGGGGGGCAAAAAAGTCACTTCGACCGAGTCACATATCAGCAAAGTTTTCGCTGCCCAGACAGAGGACGTGGATACGAGTACCAGGGCGGAAGATACCCAAGATGTTCCTCGATAAGCAGGAGCTGGCTCTCGCCCATCACCTTCATGTACACCAAAATATGAAGTCATCTCCAGTCGCAGCCTGACTGGAGAAGACCTTTGGAATTCATGTCACCTCCAAACAGCTGCGAAACTTCTAGTATGGAGTCACCCATGGATAGCTACCTGGAGACCAGTACTCTCGATCTGGATGACCTCCAACATCGAGCAGCTCCGACAACGTCGCCACGGTCTAGGACATCATCTTCACCGCAGTCGCCAAGGCGCGGGTTGATGGTATGGACCGGACGTACCTGGAATGGAAAGACCATATTTTCTTCGTGGACCCCGGACTGAAGGTGAGCGCTGGCGGTTACATTGAGCAACTCGTGAAGAATATCCTCCTCACATGTCGTCGCCCGTACCTTCTTGGAAACTTTGTACTGCTACAGCATTGGGTGCCACCACATGGAATCGAAGGGCGTTGGAGAAACTCTCGCCTACTTGGAATGGAAGGGGAGTACCTAAAGAAGATGGAATATCCAAGTAGGTCACCTGACCTGAATCCCCTCAATTACCCGGTTCGGGCGGAGTTCAATAGGGTGGTCTACGGTGGCGGAGAAATCGACTATCTCGCTGATCTCAGGCACCACATCGCGGTCGCGTGCCAGAATCTCTCGATGGCGCTCGTCCAGAAGGCTGTGGCGGAGTGTCATGATAGTATTAATATGCTCTTTAATATGGTGGTAAAAATGTCCGATCAGAATTTAATAAAGTGTAACTTATAGCGCCTCGAAAGTCAATGAAGAAAAGTGACTTTTTTGCCCCCCCCCCATGTAAATCGTGTTACTCTGCGCTTTGTAAAATTTCGATGGAGCGTGCCATGTACGAAAGGTCTTTTGACTTGCCTTCCCTCTCACTCCGCAAGAATGGCTGTGTTGGAATTAGTTCTAGCTTTAAGCTACACTTTGCTCGTCCTGGAAAGACCGTTTTACAGCACGGAAAGAAAGAGTTAGTCGAGATATTGTTCAAAGACAGCGAAACGATTCCAGGATTTTAATTGTATTTAGTTAATCCCAATCTACGTGAGTTTTATTCAAAGTTCTATATGTTTTGGGTACTATTTTCAACGTAATCAGAGGACAATGAGGGGTGGATCGAACTGTTTCCTCAAAAATTCATTGAAATGACTGAATTCTATGCAATCTTCGACCAACAGCTGTTGGCTGGTTTGCAACTGAACAAAACAAGCTACACGGCAACAGGTAAGTTAGCATGAAAACACTAGGTAGCGATGAGCGTACCTAGGCGGTCAAAACTATTTTCGCTTAGTAAATAAACGATTCTCTGAATTTTTGTATCGGTAGTTTTTGTATATGTATTCACCTGTATCACCTGTGCTCCCGTTGATCATCGAGTTCCTCGAGCGGGCGCCAGTAACGTCTCCATTCGTCCCTGCAACGTGCAAGAGTTGCCCAATGAACTCTCTCAGCTCGAGGGACACGATGAACTTCATACCATTCGTTCAGAGCTTTCACGAAGAAGTCTGACCATGTCGCGGTCCCCGGATCCTGCCGGC